ATATATATATATATATATATATATATATATATATATATATATATATATATAGAGAGGAAAGGATGGTGTGAGAAGGAGAGTTAAGATGAGAAGGGATTTGGACCTTGATCACCTTTAATCTCAAATCCACCCATGAATCGTGCTTGATACGGGGATTGATTCGGTGCATCTCATCCTAATATGCATGCAAGGGTGGAGATCCATTCTTACGTTTCTCACCTTTAACTCTCATTCTCACCAGAACCCATCCCTATATATATACATACACATATACATATACATATATATATATATATATATATATATATACATACATATAGGGTTAGGTTCACGTGAGACCAACCTGTTTTCTTGAGATCTGTGAGACCATTTTTTTACACTTGAAACTTCATAGCAGAACACTACAAAGGTAAAAAAACCTTCACAGCAAAAACACTGTGAAGGTTACCTTCACAACGTCTTGCTGTGAAGTTTGAAGTGTTAAAAAGTGGTCTCACGAGTCTCACAAAAACAGGCTGGTTTCACGTGATCCCATGTCTATATATATGTGGGGGGAGGTTGATCGGAAAACCCAAAAAAATGGAAAACTGAGAAACATTATAGTAATCATTTGTTTGGATGATATACACTAGTGCATGCAAGTAATTGAAGCTACTTTTTGGTTTTTATGCACGTGTGCATGTTATGCACATGCGCATACCGGACAAATTGCTTTCAAATTACTTGTATGCACACCTGTTGGACAAATTACTTGTATGCACATGTGCATATAAGACAAATTGCTTACAAATTACTTGTATGCACATGTGCATACAAGACAAATTGCTTACAAATTACTTGTATGCACATGTGCATACCATCCAGATGAACGGTTACTACGGTATTTCTCAACATTTTTTTGGTGTAAATTATTTCGCTTGATTTTTTTTATTTTTCGTCTTTTTAAGAATAAAAATTTGGGGGGGGGGGGTTGTGTGTGAGATTTTTTAATTAAAAGATAATGTTGTAACCACCCAGTTAATCACATCCACTAGATTATCCAATCTAACGGTTGATAAGGTGTTTTTTAGTTTTTCTTTTATTTGAGGTTTTCTTCTGAACCCCCCCTCCTCTCTCTCTCTCTCTTTTTATATATATATATATATATATATATAGAGAGAGAGAGAGAGAGAGAGAGAGAGAGAGAGAGATAGAGACTTGGGACCATGTGAGATCAGGCTGTTTTCGTGAAACCCGTAACACCACTTAAATAACACTAAACCTTCATAGCAAAAACACTGTGAAGGTTTGTGAAAGTAAACCTGCAGAGGGTTTTTTTACGGTGAAGGTTCGCTGTTTTTCGTACCTTCACAATGAATTGGTGTGAAATTTCAGTTTTATTTTGTTGTCCCACGAATCTAACTGAAACAGGCTGGTTTCACGTGAAGCCAACAATATATATATATATATATATGGTATATTTCTTTTACAACCTTATACATTTGTACATATATCAAATACAAACCTACATATCAGTTCTCATATGTTGTTTCATATATGAAATAACACATGGGAAGCATTTAGTGTTTATATGTTGTTGGTTCATATATAATACTTTTGGGACTGTTTTGCGTGTGGAAAAAACATCAATACGTTTCACATAAACACACGGACACATATAATCACACACAAGTAAAAAATATGTGAAACAATATAAATTATGATTCATGGCTTAAAAGTTGGAAATGTGGAACTAGATCTCATTGGTTATATATGAATTTGATCTAACTGATATGATTAAAAATTGGTTACAATATTATTTTTAAAACAAAAATACCTGTCCCTTCTTTTCTTTGATCGAAAACAAACGAAATATAATTAAAATTGAAGACAAATAAGTTATACAAAAAACGAGCTGGAGACAAAGTGGGGCCTGTAGCTCAGAGGATTAAAGCACATGGCTACGAACCACGGTGTCGGGGGTTCGAATCCCTCCTCGCTTACAACCTGCCCAATAGGGAAGGGCCTTTCCATCTTGTTTTCTTTAAATTGACATCTATTTTGTGTTTTCACGTTTGAGAGGTTCAAATAAAAGAAGCTAAATATTGTGAGACCGTAAGAAAAAGGTTCATATGTGTGTCATTGAAAAAACCTATTTGAATATGCACATATGAACCGATGTTGAAGGTTATACATATGGGTTCAAATATGCATGTCCAAATGGTCTTTTTGGATAATCCACATGACCGCATTGTGTGCTATTTCACATAGTTATTTTTTTCATCTAAGTCTAGAATTTTGGTATTGGTTAACATATATTTGTTTCACAATGTGTTTGTTTTACCATGTGAATTTTTATACATGTTACTGAAACAAAAATTACACGTAATAAGTAGTTCAAAATGTAAATCAAATACATATGAAACAAATATATGTTAATCAATACCTAAAACCATACCCTTAAATTCCCACTCTAAAAGAAATCATAGCCTTAAATCAAACAAAAATCATGAGAAACAAACAATACCTTTAGGTAAAAGTTATCACGGTTTTTACAATATATGGGGTGTTCTCATTTGATTATGCCTACGTATGTATGCATATATATATATATATATATATATATATATATATATATATATATATATATATATATATATATATATATATATATATATATATATATATATATATATATAACATAAAACTTCTATAATGCTTAAAAGAACTACAAATAGAGTTCAAATCAACAAGCAACCAACTAGTAGTGCCTATCGTATAGTAGGCGAGGCGCGTAACTATGATTGCCTTGCTAACGTCAAAATGACACGAAGTTTGCACCCGTTTCTATTTAGTGTAACGATGAATTCTTTTCTCAATAACCATTTTACCTGATTAAAGGGTTTTTAACGTACATAACATCAATTGGTTTTGATGACATTTCCGTGTAATCAAGAAATACAATTGACAGTGATAATTTTGCATCTATGGTTTTAGTAGTTACAAGATCTACCTGGGTCAAAATAGGTATTACATAGAAAGAACTGAATGTTTGTTACACTAATTAAGAAAAAAAATTCATCATTAATGGTTAGTGTATTTCGGCTGATGTATTATTGGAATGAAAAAGTGCATACTTCGAACTTCTTGTTAATTGATTCGACTTTTTTGTTGTAAAATTAATGTACAGGTGAAGGCCGTTATCTTGGAGCCTGGTTCAAGGACGATAGACTCAACCAAAGAAGGGATCATAGATTCAGACGGGGAAGTCTTGGCAAGAGGTAACGGAACGTATAGGTGTCACTTAAAGTCGTTGATGGTCTACGGCAAGATGCAAATCGTCGTAGATCGAGGTTTGGCTACTTTGTTTACCCCTATTTAAATTTGTATTATTTGATTTCTCTAATCTTGTTTCTAGCATCTCCCATGATTATTTTTTTTAGAACACAAATAATGACAATTCAAGTTTTCTCAAGTCGTATTCAATCGAACCAAATGAAAGAAACGAAAAGATAAATTCCGAGAAAGGAGTTGTCGGTAAGGCGACTTCTAGAACGGGTTTACGACATGGAAAGTTTGAATCGTAGTAGTCTCCAATTTCAATTCCAAATCTCGAACTCAAATGGCATCGAACCTGCATTCTATTAAGCATCCGTAATGGGTGGGCTATATCAGTAGAGCCCTTTCTAAAAATAGTGGGACCCACTAACAAAAAATAACATCAAGATGTCGATGATGAGAGAGGAACGGCAAAAATGTAATTTTGATCGAGTTGAAGTTTTGGTCGTTAGAGTATCCGCGATCTTGAAGTCTTTAAAAGACTTGATCTGTTTGTCACATTATATTTTCAACGAACAAAAAAACATCTTTAAATACTTAAATGGTCAAGTCTTTCAAAAGTTCCTTTTTGTATTTTTAATTCATTTTTAATATACATACATAAATCTGTTAGGAGTTATCAATCCAAAACAGAAAGATGCATATAAATTGAAAGAATTTGTAGAATAAACAAAAGATTCTTATTCAAAAAATGTAAACTAGTAATACAAATCTATGTAATTGACATAATTAACATCTACAAGGATAGAATCGAAGAAACGTACTCGATATTGCAGACTCTTCGTGATATTGATCCCAATTGAGGCTTGTACAATCGTAGTATCCCAAGACAAAAATTTGCCAGTATAATTGGTGTTCGTCTAGAGGATACAACAATCGAATTCAAGTTTGCACTTGAATCTGGCGAAATTAATCTATGTTTGGTGATGGATGTTGTACGAAAAATAGAGAGAAACCAGAGCAGTTTTTCTTTTGTTCTGTATGCAGTGATAGAGGAAAAAAAAGCGTATACGAGGAGAAATAAACAACTGTCGTTCGAGTCATACCAGATTGAGAGACCCCAAGAGCCCCGAGCCCAAGGCCCATCTTTTAACCTTAAATATGTATATGTGTATCAAGGAGCGCTCACCATGAAACACCACACACCAATGCCCAAGCTTTTAAATAATTCATTTAATGCTTATGGGTTGGTGTATATTAAGTGGGTGAAGTTTCCTTGGCTCTCCTATGTGGGACAAGGTTTCTCACTATTAAACCAAGTTCCAACAATACCCCATATTTTCTATTCAAACCCAAATAATACCCCACATTTGAATAGAAAATAAGCAATATCATGGAACTTATTTATTTATCACCAAGCTAGATATGAAATGCATCGGAAAAGGTGCCTTTTGGACTTGAACCGTTCCTAGTGAATACATATCGGATCTACTTCGTGGGTAGTGAACTAAAGTTTTGAACTAACCACTTTTTGTTGTAAATCTAAACAATATGTATCACACATATCATATCTATACATAATTAAATTCTTACCGTTGTGTTCATTTCGGTCGTGAACAGATCCTTTCTTCATGAGAATTTTAGAAGACGTAGCCGGTATTTTTCTGTCTTTAAAGATGCGACCACACATCAGTCTCACATAAGTAATGCCGATCAAGAATAATCCGTAATATTCTACTATATAAAAGCCATCAACATTATTAAGAATGTAACATTCAACCCTATATCATCAACGGAAATATACAAAGGAACATCATAGAAATAGACATACATGTGTATGTGTGTTGTTTGAGTTGTCCCCGACTAGTTTGCCTATTGAACCTAGACCATGGGATCTCCAATTCCGCCAGGTTAGGTTGCCACCGAGGAAACTCATTGAGTTGGCTTTAAGCCTATTCCCCTCGATGTGTAGGATACTTGCTCTCTACTTAGGCCCTTTGTCAAATGATCGACAATATTCTCCTTTGACTTCACGTAGTCGATGGAAATAATTCTATTTTTCAGCAAGTCTTTTATTGTGTTATGGCGTCGCCGTATGTGTCGAGACTTTTCATTGTAGATTTGATTCTTTGCTCTTGTGAGAGTAGCCATACTGTCACAATGGATGCCAATTGGTGTCACCGGTTTTGGCCACAACGAAATACCTTCTAGGAAGCTCTTAAGCCATTCGGCTTATTCAGCGGCTTTTCTAGTGCGACAAATTCTGCTTCCATAGTTGATCTGGTATTCACAGTTTGCTTTGAGGACTTCCAAGAGATTGCTGCTCCACCAAGTGTGAACACATAACCACTTGTGGACTTACTCTCGGAGTGGTTGGAAATCCAATTAGCATCACAATACCCTTCTAGAACGGGAGGATATTTCGTGTAATGCAATCCATAACCCATTGAGTATTTCAAGTATCTAAGGACTCTCACTAATGCATACCAATGATCTTTTCCGGGATTGTGTGAGTATCGACTGAGTCTACTCACGCTATATGCGATGTCCGGTTGTGTACAATTCATGATATACATCAAGCTTCCAAGAACTTGAGTGTATTCAAGTTGAGCCACACTATCTCCTTGATCAGGGCTAGCCCTGGGCATAGGCCCAAGGGGCGACGGCCCGGGGCAGCAAAAGAGCTAAGGGCATCAGATTTATCAAGCCCAATATACCTATATAGGTTCAGTTGGGCCTAAAAATATTACCTTTACCACCACAATTGGCCTCACTCGCTTTCTCTTTCGTCCTCAACTCCCGCCTCGCTCACGAACCTATTCATGAATCGAAATCTCAAATCGCTACTCTGAACTCACGATTCACGAATCAAAATCTCAAACTCCACTGTCGGCTCTCGAGTCTCGCCTCTCGCTCTCGCTCTCTCGAGTCTCAACTATCGATCGACGACCGCTCAAAATCTGAATTCTCGTGAGTTGTGAGGTTAGGGTTATTTACTTCACTTATTTTTTTTGTGTTTCTAATTCTTGTTTGATTAATTCATAATCTAGATGACGTTGCCCTCCATACTTAGGTTTTCTTTTATGCTTTAAAGCTGTAAATGTAATACTGTATGTATCAATGTATGCCTATTGCCTATTGCCTAATTGTCTACTTAGGTTTTCTGTCAATTGTCAACATTAGTTAGCTTGGGACTTGTGGCTATTTTTGGGGTTGTTTCGTTTTGCAATTTCTAAGTAAAATCCATGAGTTTTAGTTCTTCGTTCTGGTTCTGGTTACTCACTTCTGTTTGCAGACATTGTTGTGTGTCAAACAGTCAAAGCATCATACATTCATACTATTGCTATTAATTGATCTAGTTGTTCATCGATTCAATCAAGCCTATCTCTGGAGTTTTAGTTCTTCGTTCTRCGATTAATATTCAAGTTATCATCCACCGATTTTTGTTCTAATCCCATTAGATTTTGATGTATATTAACATAATTTCAGCAGCTATAATACAGTTGAATAGACCTATAAATGTGCAGTAGTTAAGTGATGATTTGCCCTAACTTAAATGTGTAGTAACTAATTCACTTGACTGTTCTCCCTTAACTTTGCAATTTTACATATGAAACTCATGATTGTCATTGGTCATGACCCTAAATATGATTATATGAAACACATAATGGTCTAATGAAGTCATGCAATAGCTAATTTCATAGGCAAATACCTTAAGTGACTAAAACTAGGAGGACAAAATTAGTGAAGTAGGAATGAGCCATTGATGTTGTAGAGTKTAAATAATTGAAGAAGAACCAACCAATTAAGTGTTTAGARTTGGATTAAAAAGGTATGAGTGTTGATTTTGATTTATACAGAAGACGTAGGATGTAGTAAATGGGGACAAGTAGATGATTTGGTGTTATGATGCTCCTTATTTTGGTTTTGGATAAGTAGATGAGTTGGTGTTTAAATGCAAAGGATCTAACAACTTGATTAATGAAACCTTAACATATTATTTTAAAGCAAACACTCAACTATAAAATCACACTTATGAACAAAAAACATTAATGGATCTCTCGGTCTACGAAGGAAAAAGCTAGACAATTGTAAATTACCACACTTGGATGTTTTTAATTGGGCATCATTTGGATTTTTCGCCGTGGGCACCAAAAATCTCAGGACCGGCCCTGTCCTTGATTCTTCTTTAGTTGGCTAGAAGGGGATCAAATGGAGTCACAACCGGTTTGTCATCATAATGACCAAACTTTCGAAGTACCTTCTTAACATAGTGAGATTGGGTAAGGGTGTAACCATTAGAATTATTTTGAATCTTTATATCAGTATTAATTCAGCAACTCCCATATCTTTCATGTCAAATGCATAGTTTAACATTTTCTTTGTTTGGTTTATAATGTCCAAGTTGGATCCCATGATAAGTATATCATCAACATACATGCATATGATGACACAAGCATTCTTATATTGTTTCACATGAACACATTTATCACATTCATTTATGTGAAAGCCATTTGATAACATAACGAGACTTAATCAATTTGCAGACTTTGTTTTCTTAGCCTTTTACAACTAACCCTTCAGGTGGTTGCATATATATTTCTTCTTCTAGTTCACCGTTCAAGAAAGCGGTTTTCACATCCATTTGATGTATCTCCAAGTTATGAATAGTAGCTATAGCTATCAACGTTCTTATAGGCGTTATTCTTATGACCGATGAGTAAGTATCGAAGAAGTCTTGACCTTCCTTTTGTCGATACCCCTTTGCAACTAGTTGAGCTTTGTATTTGTCTATAGTGCCATCGGGTCTCAACTTTCTCTTGAAGATCCATTTATGGCCAGTGACTTTATGACCTTAGGGTAAATCGATCAATTTCCATGTGTTGTTTTGAACAATGGAGTCGATCTCACTTTGGATGGCCTCTTCCTAATATGGTGCCTCAGAAGATTCCATGGCAGCCTTATAGGAGAGAGGTTCTCCTTCAAATGCTAAATACCATAAAGTTTGGTCCAAAGTCTTTAGCGACCCTTCCCCTTTTGCTTTTCCTTGGTTCCACCTCTTTTTGAACCTTGGAGTTTTCAACAATCTTTGATTGATAACTATCATCAATCAATCTTTTCCTAGGATTAGAGGTATTATTATCTTTTTCTTTATATGGGAAGGTCGTCTCAAAGAATTTTGCTTCTGCAAATTCT